TTATCAGTTGTTACCTCTGGGAAGGTAAACAAGGGGGCTGGGATGGAAGGCAAACATTTCTTGCAGCACATACTTCTGTAACTTCTTAATACTATGTCTTGTCCAAATATTATCAGTTCAAAAGAAAAATGAATGCCACAGGCTCCTAATCCTTGATTTATTTCTTATTTTGCCACTTACTAGCTGCATCTGATCTTGGGCAAGTCACTTTAGCTGCCTGACACTCAGTCTCCACATATTAAAAATGGAAAGGAGGAAAGAGCTGCTAGCCAACAGGGTAACTGTGAGAAATACAGGAGGAAATGCATGTAAAAGCAAAGAACCAACCCTGGTAACCAAGTGGTACACTACTGCACTGGCCCAGTACAACCCAATGCCTACAAATAATTTAGAAAGGAAAGAAAGCCAAATGTGTTAGTCTGTCTTGTCAAAACCAGAGAACAGAACCTAGTATTTTTGTTTCCCATGTTGGGGACATTACTAATGTTCACTTCATATTACAATTGACAGCCAGCAGAAAGGTCACTGGAATGAGCTTACTGCTTCTCCCTCACAGTGCTGTGATTATCTTTATAGTAAACACTTGCCAAGAAAGCCATTTCTAGACATGCAAGTCTGTCCAGATGCGGGAAAACTCTTCTTGTGTCATAATTAACGGCTTCGTAGAAGCAGTGCAGCTAATGCTTGAGCCAGTGTAATTTGCTTTCACCTCCCTCTTTCTGCACAACTCCATCCACCTCAAAAGAAAACAGTATCTATTAACACTGGCCTGTAATATATGAAGATGCATCCCTTCAAGAATGGTGGCTACAGGGTGGTAAACCAAGTGACCACCTAAAGACAGCTAGGTCCTAGAATCACCAGCTATATCCATGAAACATGACTGTCCTAATCATAAGGCTGATGGGAAAGAGGAAAAACCTACATCCTTAACCTCAGATCTTGACACTGCCCCACTTAAAACCTTCCATGGTGCTACCCGGCACTGAGAATAAAGCCAGGCTTATCACCATGGATTCAAAGCCCTGTAGCCCCTGGTTTTCCTCACCAGCTCATTTAACAACATCCTGGTCTGCATAAAGTTTGACCCAGACATTCTGAAGCAAAACAACTTCCATTCCTCCCTCACACTGGACATCCCCCCCGCCACAGGGCTGTTGTACCTACCACTCACCTGTTCCTTACCTCCCCGGATTTTTAACTTCAAAACTGAGCTTAGAAGGACTTGAGCTGTCGCTGTCTCTGTCTCTAAAGTGGCCTTCCCAGTTATGCTCTCATCATCCTGTGTGTTCCTTTGCGTGAGTTCTTACAACCTACAACTATCTTACCAAGTTATTTTTTACTTGTTCATCATGCCTCTACCCAAGCCCAGAAGCTAAGCTTTATGAGAGCAAGGACCTTTTCTGTTTTGTTTCCAACAGTTGGTGGCAGTGTCTGGTTTACAGTAGGAGCTCAGTAAATATTTCAGGAATGAATGAAGGCATTCTAACCTGCAACCAGCCTCTGCTACTATGGAGTGGCTATGTAATTTGAGGTGAGTCATTCAACCTATGCAAACTTCAATAACCTCATTTATAAATGGCTTTGATAGGCTAAAGTCCTTTACATGTTATAGGGAGACATGAGAAGCTACTGAGTTAATAACTAAACTCTAAATTATAAAGGGATTTTAAAAAATTTTGGCTCACTAAAATAAATAACCTATGGACATTTTAAATTAAGAAATCTCTGTACAAAATAAGCAAACATGTATGATAATGTTTGTGGAAAAAGTATACATCCCTTCTTTCTCCCATACATATATTACACAAAAGGATACATATACTAGCTACAAATATGTAAACATATACAAGTAATAACTAAATATAAGAAAATAGTGCAATTACAAGTGACTCTTACAGTGCAAAAAATTTAAAAAGTAAAAAACCTTGCCAAAACAAAATTTCAATTAAATAATTAAATGTTTTTAAATAGCTTATTTTTTTTTAAAGGAGCCTTAATAGGTCAGAGACTAAAGGTACTAGAAACATACAATCAGGACACAAAACCACCACTTACTGAACAATTCTTAGGTGTTGGCTCTGAGCTATATGAAGTAAGACACATATTAAATACATTTTATTTAATCTTCTACAACACAGGTATTATTCATATTCTGTAGAAGAATTAGATTGCTTATTTCACCTCCTAAAGTGTTTCCTCAAATGTCTCTTTCTTAATGAAGCCTTCCCTAGTCACGATATCTACAACTGCAAACCTACACTGTTCTAAATTCCTTATCCATCTTCCCTGCCTTAATATTCTGCATGCACGTATCATTCATACTATCTAGGTTACTTAACTTACTTATTTTCTATCTCCCCAACTAAAATGTAACTTCTACAAGGCAGGGATTTTTTTCTGCTTTGTTCTTTTCTGAAACCCCAGCACCTAGAAGAGGACCTGGCACAGAGTATATAATAATAAATATTTAATGAATGAATGAATGCACAGCTGAATGTACTGGTGAGTTTCTAAGAGGTGATTCTAGAAGTCTGTTTGACTCAAAGCCTTTCTACACCTTTATACCAGAGTTGCTGAATACAAATATATACATTGCATAGAAATTGATCAAGAAAGAAAATAAAATTATTAAGACTGGTGGCAAGCAACTAGGGAATAAAGGTTGAGAGAGAGCACCTTCTGCCTAAAAAAGGACAGTAACATTCTTTAAGATGTACACAAAGTGTGGTATTATCTTTTTTTACTTATTATAGAATATGATGATACAGGGTCTTATGGCTTCAAATGTAGAAGGACAGATAACTAAAGCTGAACTGCATGATGAACTAAGTCTGAGCTAAGGAGTGTTTCTCCCAAAGACATCTCTTGAGTGTTAAAGCTTTATGTGCAAGGAAGCTGCAAGCTAATCAGGAAACCTCTGAAGAGCAAAGGAAAGATTTCACAGCTCCAAAGTACTTAGGAGATAGAAGTGGAGTTCAAGTCCTACCAGAGAGAGGCGACTGGTAAACACCCCAGACTCATGGGGAATTTCTGGAAGGCTACATCTTAGGAGCAAAGGCAAACCAGACAGAGTCTGAACCTTATCAGAACTGCCTTGTCTCAGAGATGATTACCCATGCCCACACCTATCCCTCACTCCTGCCTGTCACCCCCCACAAAATCTGCTTACTAGAAGAAGAGTGAGTCTTCTGGACAGACTCTCATAATAGCTCATAATATCATCTGAAGCCTTTTGTAGTTGTCATACAAAATACTGGATATTCAATCAAATTATAGGATGTTGAAAGAGAGAACCAAATCACCATAACAAGAGAAAACATCAAACAACAGAAACATATCCAAGTTTGATCCTGATTCTAGAATTGATTCTTTCAAGTTCTTATAAGCTATGATTAATACATTCAAGAAATGGAAAGATGGGAAATATTTTTTTAATTGAGAATTCCACCAAAGAATTATAATCTAAAAATGAATAAAACAAATTCCAGAATAGAAAAATTTAAGAACTAAAATTAAGGACTCAATAGATGGACTTTAGAGCAGATTAGGTAAAGGAAATTTAGTAAACTGGAAGACAGGTAAATAGAAAATATCCAATATCTAAGAGTTTGGTGTAAATAATTTTAGGGAAAAGTATCACTGATCCTTATGAATAATAATAAAAATAATAACAACATCCTACTATGTGCTTGCAAGTATTCTTGGCACATTATATTTAGTTCCTATACTTCCCACCAGATAGATATTAATCTATTAATATCTCCTTTTTCTAGGCAACTGAGACATAGAGTTTAGATAATTTCCCAAGCTAGAGAACAAGATAAAACAAAATTTGAACTCAGGCAACATGGCTCCAGACCCCATGTAATCAGTAACTATACCGTAGCAATTAATAACAATTGATGTTTGGTAAGGTATTTATATTTCCTACTTTCACTTTGAATTAAATCCCTCTCAAGACATTTGGAGGGCATTAGTCATTAGTGACTACTCTAATGTAAAGATGACTTTGAAAATAGTTTAATATTAACTATAAGTTGTCCATGCTGCTTTTATATTGCACATCTGAGGAAAGCTTGGTCAGTTGGCCCACACAGGCACAGCAAGGGAAGGACTCAAATTGCAGGTTATCTCAGAAGGAAAGAAATATAGTGTCACTCTTAAAAATCCAAACCTATAAAGTAACAGCACATGTAATATAAAATTATGGAAGAAAAATACTCATGACAAATATTCAAAGAAGGAAATGGTGGAACTATCTAGAGAATTTCTTGTGAAACCCACATGGGACCCAGAAAACTCATTTCGAAGGCCGCATGTGACAGCAGAGTTTAAGCTGGGTTCAGCCCATATACCCATGTAGGATGACAGTGTTAACTTCTGAAATTATACAGTCAAGAAAACCTTCCCTTTCTCATCATTTGTTGAGAAAGCCACCTAGAAAGTCAAATACACTGCTTTGGAAGTATAAAATTAATGTGCAGTGAGAGAACACTAAAAATGTTGGAAGAAACTGTAAAACTTACCTTCTGGCATTTTCCCATTAGAAATAAAGCTCTCACTACAAATTTTTTTAAGTTGAAGAAAAAACACTACCGATAAACCATTTTTATGTCCTTAAACATCAGGGACCTGAAGAACATTTTTTGTCTATATTTGTGGTCTTGATTTTTAGGAAAACATTTTTAAAGGCCTCCTTATACTATCTGAAAAGTGAGCACACTGTATAACATTACTCTGCATGCTACTTGGAAGGTGGGCAAAGCAGTTAAACCTGGGTTCTGGTTTCTGGAAGTGGAACAAGGAACCCTACCCTCTTCCCGGGATTATCTAACTATCACCTTTCCTAACAGTGCGAACCTACTGAATTGCCAGAAAACATCCAAGACTTACTTCTGGAAATTTCAGGTCAGCATGAATTTCATTTCTTCGACAAGAACTTAGAGGAAGTTCTTCAAACAATGAAAAACTGGTAATGTTCTTTATAAAACACTTACCTTTGAATATTTCTGTAATTCAGCATCATCTGCAATCTGTGTGTCCAAAGTAGCAACCTAAATTTACAAGAAAAAATATTCTCAATTATTTGTAAAAGTATAGCTTTATTTCTTCTTAGGTTTTCTGAAAAGTCTATAAATTCTATGTACTGATAACTCCATTTTACCTGCAGTCTAATCTCTTTTCTCTACTTCTAAAATCCCTAAGTACAACACATAATGTAAAATTATCAGAGAATGTTTGCTTTTTGTTAATGTTTTTCACAGCAATCTTTCCTCCAAATATATTCAAAAGTTGAACGTGTTAGCAAATACATATATATACTATATTTTTTAATCCATGACCCTACAATTTTAATATAGTCTTCCATTATACTGAATCCATAAAAATTGTACTCTTTTAACAAGACCAAGAGTATAGTCATTTTTACTTTTAGGTTCAGAGCTTAAAACAAAGTTTGCAAAGTTAGTAAAGTCAGCCTAGTTTGGAAAAACTGAAGCATTGGACTTTCCACAGCAACATCAACCACTTCCCTAGGACAAGCACTTGGCAACAGCACAAATAGAAAGACCTGGACTGGTGGGCATCTCATGGACTACTGAAAGCTTTTAATCTTGGCCTAAAACTATTGCTCTAAGCTACTGTGGTGGACATCCATAGAAGTGAATTCCTTGCAAGCAAAATATTTTACTGATGATTTGCATCTTAAGTTGTTATAATATATAGTGCATCGGGAGGGAGGGGATAAGTTAAACAATGATACGATTAAAGTTTCTAAAAGTACTAGATGTCAGATAAGTAGACCCTAAAAGAAAATAAACATCGGAGTACATGCATGAAGGCATGCATTCATTCATCTTGCCAGATTTCCCTTCTCTGCTCCTCATCCCTCTGAACAGGCAACAACTCAATGAAGAAGCTGTAACTTTAAATTTCCAACTGCAAATTCTGTCTCCTTTCTAGCCCTTCTGTTATGACCTCACCATCTGATAAATAAACTTGGAAAGGTAGTTACAAGGAGGAAGAAATTTTAACAAAAAAGAGCCCATCACAAAACTGGCCATTTATAAATAATGGTACACCAAATTATTTTGACTTCAGACCACTCAGGATAGTGAAAAAGATAATTTGCTAGCTGATAGCCTAATGTCAAAAAGCATTCAAAATTTTTGAAGTAAAGAAGCAGTAGCTCATGAAGACTGACAGCGAGTACAAAGTTAACAAGTATGCGTTTTAACTCATCTTAATGACATTGGAAATTTTCTGATAATAGATAGTGGCTGTACATGTTGAACCAAAAAGAGAAAGAAATCTCCAACCAGCCAAGTACTAATGATAAACATATGTAAGAAAATGTGAATGACAATAGAAATTTAACAGAATATTTTATTACTAATGCATTTAGTGAACGCTGTAGAGGCTTTTCTAAGCACAGCTTTCTGCTTTCATGCAGATTCATATGGGGAAATGTAATCAATCCCTTACTCAACGAATCTAATAACAGGTGAAAGGAAGTCTAGTGGACCACTGGCACTATAAACTAATACCTAATCTAAATGACTTCCTGTTCTCCCAAGTACATTTGATAATCATTCTTTCACTTTTGTCATAAAACTGTAAAATTCTCTGTGAAACATAGGACTAATATCCATAGCCCTTACACTGTACAATAAAACAAACAGATCATAAAAGCAATCATAAAAATGCCAGCAATTTTAAGCAACTGATACAGGTTATAAATTTAAAGGCAAGCCCACTCTCTCCTAAGATTTTCAAATGTTTTCAAAATGAACTGAATGTCTGCTAAACATAACTGAAACTTGTGTGCAGTCCTAAACTGTTCCTGCAGCTTAAAATGTTAAAAAAAGAAAGAAGGAATGGAAGAGAGAAAGAGAAAGAGGAAGGCAGGGAGGGAGAAAACCAACTGATTGATCCAATAGGGAAGAAAGGCAGGAGGGAAAAATACAGGCAGACTAGCTAGTCTTAGATTTCTTTAAGTTGTAGTGTTAAGAGTTTGAAGTGACATGAAACATTAGTGTTTTCTATTAGAACATTTTAACATACCATTACTTCATAGTCAGGGCCCAGTAGGTTTTCCCATCTGGATTTCAGCTCATTTTCTTGAGAGTACAGGACTCCTTCTGGATTTAAAAAAAAAAAAATGTTGAAGCTACTGTGAGCCATACACTGCTAAAATCTTGAATACTGAACTACTAAATTCTTCAATAATAGTGCAGTTTCAGTAAGTAAAAGGGAAATGAATAAAAAGGAAAATGCATTAACTTAGCTCTATGAGGTAAAGTAAATTAGAGGTAACTTGCAAGGCTAAAGCAAAATGTAAAGACCAGCTATGACCAAATTATGAAGGGGATGTTGTTCTCAAGGAATATTTTAAAGGGAAGAGGAAATGGTGAGTTATAAATGAAATTTGAATTATATATAGTTCATATGTAAACATCCTATAGATTATAAGTAAAATCCACCTAGCTTTGTTTTATAACATATTAAGACAAACAAGGATTTAATTTAAATGTTAATCACTTCAAAGTAGTACCTTTCACTCACACACAGGAAAAATAAAAACTTATCAAGATACTTTTACCATCAACTAGGCATATCAATACAATCCAGTTAAATTTTTCCCTTGGGCAGAGGTAAAGGCTTACGTGATTTAATTCCACCAGTGAGATGCATGAGCTTTAGTATAATAGAAACTTTGGTCTTTCATGGTTACTTGGTTATCATATTTTTATGATTTTCTTACATGAGTGTAATATTGTTTTTATTGCATAGGGAAGATAATAATGACTAAAACAGATATTAAAAGTACTGCCTGTCCTTCATACGATCTTAGCTAGAAGCTTAGTACATAGCCTGTAGTCTGAATAGTGCCTAATAGGCAAAAGTCAAAGTACTAAAACTATCATTTCAACTTATATGCATAGCAATAGCAGAAAATAAACAAAACTCCACCTTTTTTTAAGTTAAAGAAAAACTCAATTTTGTCACGATTGGACAAGTCACAGAACATATCACAAGGGACATAACCATCTGTCTCAAATCAAATGTAACTTGCTTTATCAGCTCTTTCAGTCTTCAGCACAGACAGCTCATCTTGGATGCATATAATGCTTATTATATAATATAAATCATTCATTAAGTAAAACAGGCTAACTTCAGAGACTGACTAATGAACACTAAAGAATTTAAATTACTAGATTTACAAAAGAATATCCATGAAATAATGATATTAACTTACACACGAGATTACATTTAAGGAATAACTAACCAAAGATCCTACTAGAAATAAAAAAATCATTTGTGTGGACTCTGCATCTTTGTGCCTATTCCTGTTAACATTTCCACAAGAACTGAAAGAGTTCTATCAACTTGCCTATTACATTTTCTCCAGATAGCACCTTCTTATCTGGGAAGCTAAAACTAATTTGAACACAATTTGCAATGTGTTGGTTGAATTGTAAGCTTAAAAAATATGATGTCATTAAAGATGATACACCATACACATGTATAAAATGATAGTTTACCTACAATTCTTTTTACTATATTTTTACCTTTCACTCATACAATGAAAGCATAGATGGTAAGTAATGAGTTTTAAAGCACAGCATTATAGGGGATTTCGAATAAAGATGGTGGCATAAGAATGGAGGCACAAACCTCTTCCTAAAATCACATAAAAAACACAAAAATAGAGCAAATACAAGTAATCCTGAAAAAGTGACCCAAAGTCTAAAGAACAGACTGCCTGCATCTGGAGAAAAAGAGCGGACCTCACAGAAAAGGATAAAGTAGTAAAGCTGTGATCTGGCAGGACCCAAGCCTTCCCCCAACTGGCCCCAGCCCACAGGCAGGAGGAAGAGAAACAGAGTAGGGAGGGAGTAGAAGCCCAGGACTGCTGAACACCCAGTCCTGGAGATCTCCTCTGGGAGCATGAACCCACATTACACGATGGATGCTCTGGAAATTAGTGAGGTTGGAAAGCAAAGACAGGTAGAATATTCAGAGAGACTGAGATTCCAGCCACTTGTGGAGAACAGGTATGCACAACCAGCCCACATGGGAAAAAAGACAGGGAGGCAGTTTGAAAGACTCCCCAGCCATGAGAGGGGCACTAAAGGGGCAAAGACTATACAGAGCTCACTGCTCAGAAGAAAGGGCAGATGGGCAAAATCATCCTGGCACACTCAGCTCAGCAGGTTGGGAACTCTCAGGGGCTTCAGACGCTCAAACCCCTGGCTGGCAGCACAGCCCTGAGGCACCCCCACTGTGGTATGCACCCTGCCACTCCTTCCTCCTGGTAGTGACAGGACCCCTCATCTTCTGGCCCTGCCATCACACCATGCCAGCCAGAGGATGGCCCTGCCTATAGCAGCTACAGGGGCATAGCACAAAGACTCCACCCAGCATGCTTGGCCCCCTGGAACTGGCAGTGGAGGCAGGCATTACAGCTGAGAAGACAGGAAGCCATTCCAACGAGCTCTTTCCTCCTGGCAGGCAACAGTTCCACTCGTCAGTGACCTCTGCCAATGCTGCAGGTGGTTGGCAGCTCCAGAGTGGAACTTCTGGGCATGGGACAGCGCCACCTATACAAAATTATTTTTCCATAGGAAACACTAAAAAAATCAAACAGCAAAGGAATTGGTCCAAACAAAACTACAAGTAAAATGCCAGAAAGAGGGCTCACTGAAATAGAAATCACCAATCTTCTTGACACAGATTTCAAAATAAAAGTCACAAACAAGCTCACAGAGCTACAGAAAAATATTCAAGATCTCAGGGTGGACTTCAACAAAGAGATAGAAACTTTGAAAAATGCACTATCTGAAATGAAACATAAAATGGAGGGATTTAAAAGAAGATTAGATGAGGTAGAGGAGAAAGTAAATGAAAAAGAAATTAGAGAACAGGAAAACAAAGAAGCTGAGGCACATATAATCTCTAGGAATGAAAGAATAATAAGAGCTGTGTGACCAATCCAAATGGAACAATATTTGCATTATAAGGGTACCAGAAAAAGAAGAGAAAGAGAGATAGAAAGTCTCTTTGAATATCTAACTACTGAAAACTTCCCCAATCTCGGCAAGGAAAGAGTCTCTCAGGCCATGGAAGGGCAGAGATCTCCCAATACAAGGAACCCTAGGAAGACAACACTAATATATATATAATAATTAAAATGGCAAAGATCAAGGACAAGGAGCAGCCAGAAAGAGAAAATGAAAACCACTTATAAAGGAAACCCCATCAGGCTATCAGCAGATTTCTCAGCAGAAACCTCACAGGCCAGAATGGAGTGGCATGATATATTTAATGCAATGAAACAGAAAGGCCTCCAACCAAGAATACTCTACCTGGTAAGATTTTTATTTAAATTTGAAGCAGAAATTAAACAATTTCCAGATAAGCAAAAGTAGAGGCAATTCACCACCCACAAACTATCTCGATAGTGTATCTTAAAGGAACTGCTCTAGATGGAAGCGCTCTTAAGGCTATATAGTTGTCACCAGAGAAAACAAAACCACAGTAAAGGAAGTGGATCAATTAATTACTAAGCAAATACAAAATTAAATCAACTACCCACAAAGTTAGTCAAGGGATACACAAAGAGTACACAATATGACAACTAATAAAGAGTGGAGGAGGAAGAAGAAAAAGAGGAGAGAAAAAAAGAACCTTTTCATTACGTTTGAAATAGTACAAGTGAGTTAAGATAGACTCTTAGATAGTAAGGAAGCTGCCCTTGAAACTTTGGTAACCACGAATCTAAAGCCTGCAATGGCAGTAAGTACATATCTACTGATAATCCTCCTAAATGTGAATGGACTGAATGCACTAATCAAAAGGCATAGACTTACAGAATAGATAAAAAACATAAGACCTATCAACAGGCTGCCAAGGAGACTCACTTCAAACCCACACAGACTAAAAAGGGATGGAAAAAGATATTTCATGTAAATAATAGGGAGAAAAAAGCAGGAGTAGCAGTACTTAGACAAAATAGACCTCAAAACAAAGAAAGTAAAAACAGAAAAGAAGGACATTACATAACAATAAAGGGGTCAGTCCAACAAGAGGATATAACCATTAAAATTATCTATCCACTCAATATAGGAACACCTAAATATGTGAAACAAATACTAACAGAATTAGAGGGGGAAACAGAATGCAATATTTATTTTTGGAAACTTCAACACACCACTCACTACAAAAGACACATGAACCACACAGAAAATAAGGAGACAGAGACACTGAACAATGCATTAGAACAGATGGACCTAAAAGACATCTACAGAACACTGCACCCAAAAAACAGCAGTATACACATTTTCTCAAGTGTACATGGAACATTTTCCAGAATAGATCACATACTAGGCAACAAAAAAGCCTCAGTAAATTCAAAAAGATCGAAATTGTGCCAACTAGCATCTCAGGACACGAAGCTATGAAATTAGAAATAAACTATGCAAAGAAAACAAAAAAGCCCATAAACACAAGGAGGCTTAACAGCATGCTCCTAAATAATCAATGGATAAATGACCAAATAAAAACAGAGATCAAGCAATATATGGAGACAACTGAAAACAAAAACTCAACAGCCCAAAACCTGTGGGATGAAGCAAAGGCAGTTCTAAGCAGAAAGTATATACAATACAGGCTTATCTCAAGAAAGAAGAACAATCCCAAGTGAACAGTCTAAACTCACAGTTTATGTAACTAGAAAAAGAAAAACAAAAATGAGGCCAAGAGTCAGAAGAAGGAGGGACATAATAAAGATCAGAGCAGAAATAAATAAAATCGAGAAGAATAAAACAGGAGAGAGAAACAATGAAACCAGGAGCTGGATCTTTGAGAAAGTAACAAAACAGATAAACTCAAGCCAGAGTTATAAAAAAAAAAAGTGTACACACATAAACAAAATCAGAAATGAGAAAGGAAAAATCACCACAGATACCACAGAAATACAAAGAATTATGAGAGAATTCTATGAAAAATTATATGCCAACAAACTGGATAACATAGAAGAAATGGACAACTTTCTAGAAAAATACAACCTTCCAAGGCTGACCAAGGAAGAAACAGAAAATCTAAACAGACCAATTACTAGCAATGAAACTGAATTGGTAATCAAAAAACTACTTAAGAACAAAACCCCTGAACCAGATGACTTCATGACTGAATTTTATCAAACATTTAAAGAAGAGCTGATACCCATCCTCCTTAATGTTTTCCAAAAAGTAGAAGAGGGAATACTTCCAAACTCATTCTAAGAGGCTAGAATCATTCTAATGCCAAAACCAGGCAAAGATACCACAAAAAAAAAGTAAATTACAGACCAATATCCCTGAAGAACATAGATGCAAAAATCCTCAACGAAGTATTAGAAAACAAAATTCAAAAATACATTAAATAGATCAGTAGTTAGATTTTGGTCTTATTCTCAAGTTGAAATGATACATACTCATGAAGAAAAAAAATGTACTGAGGTCGATCCAAAAAGGGCAGACAAAATATTTCTAACTTTAGTATGTATTTGATTTTCACCTGATAGTTCACTGAAAATTTATCTGAGTTCACTTGAATTTAAATAGCAAAGATTAACCTGCAACCTACTTGGGTCAAAAAGAACAAGGTAAATTTCCAAATCATAGGACATTTTTTAACCTGAATGAGGAGCTACTCCTTCCTTCAGGCCATTGTTTCCTAAGACAAGAAAATCAAAGCCAAAAGCCAAACTTCCCTGGATCATGAATTGTGTTAAGTATCTCATATCATTCAGCTAGTAAGTCTTTCTTGAGCACCCTTGTACAGAGAATTATGTGAGATTGTTACTCAGTATGCTTGCAGAATTGTCAACTATAGTAGCCAAAGTATCAAAGTACAAAGTAGAAGTACAAACCTGCACATCAATTAAAAATAAAATTGCAGGATAAATACATAGCAACCTGGTAATTTGATGAAATATATAAAAATGTACATACACTATTCATTTTTTTGGTGAAAAGGAAACAATGTTATATATACAGATACCTATATATCTATAGCTATAGCAATAATATACAAACTGAAGTATACACTACCTAAAAATGTTGACAAGATTTTTTAAAAGTCATCATATACTAATAAAAACGCATTCAAAATTAATTGAATATTAAGTTACAATAAGATTGGATCCCAACTCCCATAAGTTTCCATGTTGATATTAAGAATATCCTATTTTACATCTCTAAAATGCCTCTAAAATTAGCTATAAAGAGAGAAAATAGTTAACAAATGAGAAAGTCCAATTACTTTGACTGCTTTGAATTGAATACTTTATGCCTACCCAATTTTTCTAACGCTTGTATGTTGCCATTTTTTAAATTATCCATTCTTTCTTCAGTTTCCTCATCTTCGCCATCCAAATTAGTTTCCGTTTCCACTGCTCCAGTTAGGAAGAGGGCTGGTGTGTTCAGTGGTTCTACAGTTCCTAAAATAAGAATTGCTAACTTGAATCACTAGCAGCAGAAGACCATATTTAAGTGAGCTTATTCAATTCCTATTCTCTCATTTCACAATCTCATTATAAATATCTCAAGTAACCTACATATATAATACTTTTATGTAAAATGCCATGTGTGATAAACACTCAATTCCTTAAAGAATAAACTTGCTGAAAAAAAAAAGAATAAGCTTGCTGGTCATATCGAAAAGAATAAGGAACTAGGCGATGGGAAGAGAAAAGCAAGGCAAAGTTGATGGCAAAGCTGGAGTAGATGCCTTGGACAAGAAAAAGGCCACTAGGGTCTTATGTTTTTGCTGCCTTGGTGGGTAGGGAGCTAGATATGCAGAATAAGTTGGTCCCATTGCTCTGGGCTCACCTAGGTTCTTGCGTGACATTATTATCATGTCTAGCAAACACCTCTACATAGGTAACCTTATGAATTGGAAGGGAATTAGAAAGAGAATTCCCCCAGGTGCAAAAGTACTTTCTTACCGAAAATGAACTTAGGTAAAGTAATAGGATAGCCAAAGCTCTCAATCTCAAGCATGCAAGTGAAGAAAGGATAAACAAGGGATATTTTAGGTTATTTTTAAATTCTCACAAATGACTTAAAAAGTATTCTTACCAAAAATATTTAATCTGGTTTTAAGGCTTTACACCTAGCTTCTAGTTCACAGGAAATATGATGGAAAGAATAAGTTAATGACATCAAAAGGAAATAATCAAATTCAGAATGTAGCATTCTAGCAACAAATCCCTTCAAAAAGTCTGTGTCATGATTAACAGGGGTAGAGAATTCTTCTAGATTAAAAAACCTAAGAAACATACATGCAATAAGTGCAAAGTATGACCTGATCTTGATTTTATGGGGGTGGTTTTTTATTGGGGGTGAGGAGAGATGGGGAATGGGAAAAAAAGCCACAAAAGCCATTTGAGGGCAACCAGGAAATTTAAGTATGTGTTGAATATTTGACATTAGAGAATTACTATTAATTTTCTTTAGTCTAACAATACTGCAGTTATGTAAGAGAATACCCTTAGTTTTAAAGATATAGACTGAAATATGTAGGGCTAACTATATCATGCCTTGTACTCACTCTTAAAACCGTTCAAGAAAAAATTAATGAAGTAAATATGGCAAAATGTTAAGTGTTGAATCTAAATGGTGTGTTTATGGGTATTTGTTACACTGTTTCATTTTTCTCTATGCTTTGAAGTGTTTATAATAATTGAATAGTTGAAAAATATAACCAGGTAAAAGTTCATATGTTCTTAACATGAGATTTTAAATCACACAGAAGATACTTCAGAACATTAATCCATTAACACACACTAAAAGCACAGCCCCACAGGAGCAAAAGAAATGGTGACCAGAAGCTGCTAGTGTAGCTGGGGAGAAGGGTTACACACCAGAGTTTAGGGTACAAAGCAGCACAGATGTGACTGTGTGCTATAAGTAGTAGACAAATTGGTACACAAATAAGTGTATACAAGGTATGCAAACAGCAGGAGTCTAGAGGAGAAAAGGTAAGATTTAGAACAGCAGAAGATGTGCAAGAGCTAGAGCTGTGCAGTTTGTTGTAGTCAAACAGACTTTAAGTGCTGACTATGTGGAAGGCACACAAAGATTTGTTACATGGGGTAGAGAAACAAAGGTATAAACACTCCCCTATATGATAATGGCCACACATGACACAGGTGATCATGATACAGTGTGATAAATGCTACACTAGAGTGCTCTTCAAAAGGTGCTAGTGAATGACATAGGATGGACATCCAGTCCAAACTGGTCCCAACACAAATTTAAAATGTAGGCATGCCCAGTATTGCTAATTTGTAGATGACATACTTCATTTGATATACTAAAGTGAAGCCAAGGACTCTATCAGAGCTATTAAAAACCATTATATTGATACAAATATTTACATAAACCTTTTAGTGTCAATAAGGCATTTGTACAATTTGTACTATTTAGGCAATTTTAAATTTCATACAGACAATGCAGTTGACAGGGTATCTTTCAGTAGCAAAAATTTCCACTATCAAGTAAAACTTTAAAAGTTTCAATTTAAATATAAATCAGTATCAGTTGAAAACAAAGGTTTCTAGTCTTATTACATCTTTGGTGGAGCAGGAAAATATACATTCATCTTTTAACGAATTCTAATGGAATTATTTCTTATTCACTAGTTATATAACTAGGCATTCATTTAAAATTGAATATGTGTTCCCACGATTGACAAATTTTGTTGATCTATATATTTGTATGTTGATAAGTAAAAATTGGCATGTGTACAGTTAAGCATTTCATAATGAAAATTTACTATTTTATAATCAAAATAACAAATATTTTACAAATAAAAATATTGACAGAAATCCATGTTTTATTTTCTCCCACTACATTTTAAAAAGTATATCAAGAGACATTAGAATTAAATGTATCATTAGAAGTAATATGAGACTTGAAGTGTGCAAAATGTCAAAGCATTAGACAAACAAGAGCCCCTAGAACAAAAGGTGTCAAAGATTTATTATTCAAATATAAGTAATAAATGAAATTCGGAAGCTTTCTCAGAAAATGATTTCCATCTCAATTTAGAGAGGCTCTCAGAGCCAAATGTATGCCACGGTTTATGTTTTAACACTTGCACTGGCACATTATATTAGGCAAAGGAAACTTTGCTCAGTGCACAAATGAGCTGATTCATTTTCCCAACACTGCATTACACAAGGTGGGCAGGTTTTTCTTCCCAGACTCACAGAGTAACTTCCATAAACGAGCTTTTCTTCTACATGCAGGGAAAGGGACAGCAGAATTAATTACCTCTGTCTGGAGGCTGTTCAAGTGGAGAAGCAGATAAGGATGTCTTCCTTCGAACTAGAGTTAGGCGCACCACTTGCCCGGCACTCCGTAATACTTCAACAACATCCTGGTTGGCAAAACCCTGAATATTCACACCATCGACCTAAAACATTAACAGATCCACTAAACAGAGCTTTCTTGTTAGTTTCTATTTTTAATTCTGAGGAGGCAGTTCATTTTATTACAAAAATAACTTGTATTACACCCAAGAAATTATTTTGGAGTTAGGATGCAAAATTAGTAGTAAAATCATGCTGACAAACTTCCTGAGAAAAACAAAGAAACAAAAGACTAAAAGGCAAATTCAAACTTGTATTCCTAAGCCAAACATTTTGACAGTCTGAGAGAGAATTTCAATCTCTAAAGCTGCTGAAAATTCAAAGTGCCATAAGAGCCAATTGTTAGACACAGCTCTTAGGTGTATTAATAGAAGCCACTATTATCAAAATTGAAGAGGTCATCCAATACCTCATCCCTCTATCATATCACTATGTGATATGTTCCAGAGTAAACACACAGATCTCCCTCCATTAAGTTTCCTAATGTTCTGAAAAAGAGATGTGCAAGAAGGGTATTTGCTAATCTATGTCAACACCAATCCTACATTTGTGAAGCCCATCAGTATCAACAGGCTTCCTCCCACAATCTTTTTCAAGCTACCCAAACCATTACTTTATCTTTCCCCATAAGTATTTTCTCAAGCATCCACTGTTATCACTGGTTTCCCAACTCTGCAAACCACAGACATTTCCTAAGCCCAAAATGTAAAATAAAAGCCACAAGTCATGAAATGTGCTTCCTTAGATGGACTCGAAGGACAAAGATTCAATTTACACCCACAAACACCTGTTTCTATGTAAATGACTAAATTAAACATATGTGTATATATGCTTCAAATATAGCATTCAAATAAACTGTAAAATTTAACTAATTTCTATTAAATGGAGGACAGACTAATCTGAACTGATCAAAAGTATTTATTATGTTCTCCAATATATAAAATATATCAATTTGTATGCACTCAAAAATTACTGTTAGTAAAAAAACTACTTTCATGAAGAGATGAAAAGGGCTGGTTAATAGCCTATTAATTTTATATAAAATGAGTGAGTTAAAGAACACAAAGAAGTGCTTAAACAGTATTTTCTGGGAGAATGCTAGAACACCTATAAACTATATGCACGTATATTAAATATATGTGTATATATTATTTTTTCCTCCCAACACAGTCACTCCTTTCTTCATCCAGTAAAAAAGAAATCAAATTTAGACCATAAGAATTCCAAATTAATGAGATTTCATTGTACTAGCAAACTTAATTTAAAATATTATGAGCCTATATTAAGCCATTTCCTTCTCATACATATTATATAATAAAGATAACTTTCTTCTCCAACTTGATTTAATTCTAAAAACAGAGGTAGTTACTTACAGCAACTATTTTGTCATTCACTTGAATTTGGCCATTGTGGTATGCGGCGCTGCCAGGTATTATGCTTTTCACATAAATCCCTGAAGCCTCCCCTAAGTTGCACGAGACATATGGAAAAAGAAAGCAAGCTCTAATTAGGCCTTGATTGCAAAATTCCTATCAAGAGGTTAATTAGCTAAAGGGGTTGACTGGAGGCTTGATAAATACTATTTTGAACACAAGCAGAGAAAGTGATGGATTATTTCAAAGTGTCACCATCTCAAGTGACCTGAATTTGAAATGACTTGCCTGATGACTGCTTCTGGAAAAATAATCAGTAATGGAACATTGATGAAATACATTCCAATAAAAGCTGGAATTCAGGAGAGCCCAGGTTTAAGTCTTACCCTCTTCTCTTGGGTTATCTCCCTTCTCACTGCTAACTTGGGTTAAGCCTTCATCATCTTTCACCAGCACTATGACAATAGTTGTTTAACAGCTTCCTGTTTATATTTAGTTCACTGCATATGTAAGCTTCCCAAACACAGAAAAGTATACAGTCTTAAAAAACTAGAATAATATCAGCAACATGAAATAATCATTATACTCCAAGTAAAACATTTAAACAGAAACAAATACTTATATAAAAATATCAACTGTATCAAAAGTATGCCATGTGTATGGGCAAGGACTAAAAGGGAAATTGGAAAATGAAAAACCATAGCTCTGGATGACTTTGTATTTTTACTTTTAAATTTCAAATGAACTTATAATACTTAAACAATAGTAGATTCCTAATGCTGCATAATAAAATGTAAATTTCATAGAATCACACTACAGGACTCCATATCTTCCCCAAACTTCTTTACTTAATCTTCCAACTACTATCTGACTAACAAAAGTCCAGACACATGATGCTCAATATTCTACCAAAACAGCAAATATTTCCATTTTATCCCCTTTCTCATTTCATTTTTAATTCTTATCAACCTTACCCCTTCTACCAAAATCCTTCTCCTTTTCCATGCCTAGAAAGTGCCTCTGTGAATTCTCCATTTCCCTGTCAAATGTAATCTTTCATCTGCCATATGATGACAGTTTGCCTCTATCTCGCTAAAATACACTTCATTTATCCTTGGACAATTGAGTTATTTACCTGTTTCTCTTCCTGAATAGACTTTTCTTATGGTCATTCTCCTACACCCTCAAAGTCTAAGCAAAGTAATGCCTTAAGAGTCCAATGAATGGAATAAAGTGAAAATTATTTTGAAAGACTACACATTAAAAAGCATACTGAGTCTTAAGCGTTCTAGGTTTTGGATTCACCACTGCCCTCCAACCAGTCCCAAAAACTTTTCAAGGTAAAGAAGTAAAATCACTTTTTTCTATATTCAGTAACATAAACATCAAATTTTCTATCAGTTATTCACTTTCATTTTACTCTACATATATGTTGTTAGGTTTACAAGAACACCGTGGAAACTTTGTAAGCTACAGGTTTAGGAACTAAGTCATGATTTCTCTAACCAGACAGCATATTAAGAGCTACTTGATCTAATATTTTTTCAAAATTATTATACAGTCCATACTTAGCTCTTTTGGAACACATTTAAATTCTGAACCTAAAAAAGGTAGCACTTAGGAAATCTAAAGGTTTTAAACAGTTATTTCATTAGGCTAAAATAGCACAAGGTGGCCTGACATGAATTTCATTCAGGACTTTGAATACATTAGCACTCTTAATCTTTCCACCTGCTGTAAACATGCAAAATAATAATTTTAAAAAAATTAACTCTCTAAACTTGCTATTTTTTTAAAAGCTAGAACATTTTGTAACTCTGGATTTTCATATTACTAGCAAATATTTGTGAAAAGGGTTTATTTTTCCTTACGCTAATGATTCTCTTACAATCATAGATAACTCTTGAAGTTAAGTTACCAAGGCTTTGCAAATAGGAGTTAAGGGAGTATTATTCAGAGATACTTGGCCCATGTATTGTTTTCTTACATTGAAATCCCTTTACATGAAAGGAAAATAATTCTAATTAAAGTACTTGTTTTATTTTATTTTTACAATGATTAACATAATAGTAATACTTTTTTGACACTCACAACCTGAAATACAGGCAATTAGTTTATCACAAATAAAATGTCATAAAATGTTAAGTCACAATGTTCAAATTATATCTATCTTAGAAACAAGAGGAGGTACAATTTAAAGTTATACACTGAGTTGGACAATTAAATTCTTTTGTTAATTACTATCAAGCCAACTATAAAACTACTGAGATAAAACTATCTCTAATCATTGAAAAGTAACTGGTTGCTATTATAGATTCATGGTTTTATTGTTCAATGTTTAAATTAAAATTTGCAGATATGTAATTTTATGTCTAGAAACCTTAACATCCTTTACAATTATTTTCAAATATAAAACAGAAATGATTCATTTACCTGTATGAGCAGTTCCAACATAGCCAACAATTCTAATCCCAAGACTCTGTCCATCTTTTTTAATGAGTTCAACATCATAAGTTTCAAAAAGAGAATTGTCCTAAAAGGAAAAAATAATTTTAATTATATATAATGTTTAGTAATTATGTGTACACAGTCCAGCTGTACATGGTGTGTCAAGTATTTCCTGAGCACTTGTGGTAGGCAGAATTTTAAGATGGTGTCCATGACTTTTTTGACCCCTGGTGCTACTGCTGTGTTTATGTTACATCACATGGCAAAAGGGAGATTATCCAGAAGAGACTAATCTAATCAGAGGCCCTACAAAAGCAGAGTTTTTCTCCTGCTGGTGGCAGAAAGGAAGTGAAAGACGAAGTACGAGGACTGGACTGTGGTTTGAAGATGGAAAGGATCAGGTGGAAGGAACAGAGGGGGCCTTGAGGACTGGAAGAGGTCATTAGCAGGAGAAGAAGAGAGACCTCAATCCTACAGCATCAAGGAACTGTATTCTGCCAACAAACTGAATAAGCCAGGAAATGTTAAGAGCATAACCAGACCTTGATTTTAGCCCTGTAAGAGTCTAAAGAGAAAGCCCAGCCAAGCTGACCCTAACTTCTGACCTATAGAACTATGAACTAACACAGCATATTGTTTTAAGCCACTTAATTTGCAGTAATTTGTTACACAAGAGTAGAAAACTAATACAGCCACTTAGGAAAAAAAAATCTCAGGATAAACTTGTGTCTGAAAGAACTAATTGTACAGAAAAATTTAGAAACAAATAATAAAACAAATTATTGTAATAATTATAGTGAGAAAAAAACACTGACCTAATACTTATTTTCATTACTCGTCCCCTAACTTAAAATATTTCTGTAAAAGAGTCAGGTGTCTAAAAACATAACACCTATCAATTCAAAACATTAACATTAGCAATTATTGATTGCATCAAATTCTCATTTATCACTTAGCTAAAGTGGACCCTCACTACTTAGTAGAAGGCTCCACACAACTAGACTAACGTATGGAAAAATAAAATGATGGTAACCACAGTTTGGAGAAGGAAACAAGAACAATTCTAATATCCCAGACTTTTCATATGGTATAAGTAGGGACAGGCAAACAGCTTTCCACTCAGATGAAGAATGATGGGTCTTCCACCCCTTCCCATCATGACCACTTCTCTTTTCTTTCCCCTTCCTCCTGGCCCCTCTTTTAAAAAATTATTTCTTTTTTTTGCCTTATAATCTCTTAATTCAGAGCCTGTGAGATAGCTGGAAAGAATGTAGAATGGACCAGAAAGATCTGAATTCAAATCCCAGCTTTGCAACTGACTCTGTGACCTTTAACAAGGCATTTGGACTTCAGTTTTCTCATCTATTCTATCATACCTAGCTTGCAGAATTCCCAGGAGGATTTCAGATGACCTGGACAATTCCAGGTGCTTGATTTACAATAATAATGATTACTGTATAATTATAATGATTGTTCTATTAATCATAATAAGTATTATTATTATTATTATTATTATCATCTATTCCCTTTGGCTTGTCTATTCCTATCAGTGATAACATTTATACATTAGCCCATATTTCCAGTTTCCCTCTGCCATCTGGATGTCTCCTCACCAATCTAATGAAATAGAAATGGAAAAGTGTTATTATTCTCCAATTTACAGATAAACAGTGAGGCTCAGGGAGGTTGGATGACTTAACCATGAGAAACAAAAAAAAAAGAAACTCATACTTGTCTAATGTGTCCAAATTGGATTCTCCTCTGCACAGTAGTGAGCACTGAGATACTATTCACACCAATGTGGCATTTCAAGTTGAAGGCATTTCTAATCTTGCAGTGTATCATACCCAGTATTTAAAATTCAAGAATAATTTGTATACTCACAGAACTAGAGCTCCTGTTGTCTACAGCAGGCAGGGCAACAGGGAAGGCTATAGGGGTGGGAGGAGTTACAGAAATTTCACCAACTGGGTCTCTTGCAATGAGCATCCTGACTGAATTCCCACAGTTCCTCAGCACTTGTGCAACTTGCTCACTGGTCATTCCCTGCACATTTGTGCCACCAATCTGCAAGATATGATCCCCTGTGTGGAGTCTTCCATCCTTTAATTGAAGGAACAAAAAAATTACTTGAGAAACCAATTGATCTAACCTCATTAATTAATAATAATTCATTATTCTTTCAATTCTGGAAAAACGGCTGACAAAGACATCACCTATAAATGCTGGTTCAAATATATTGTAATGAAGAGCTAAATTTGCGACAGAGTAAAACAAAAAGAGATGGCAGTTTTGGAGGGGAAGGGGGTGTTGAGAGGGAGAAGAGTAACCAAAATTCTAAAATGGGCATTTGCTTGAAGGTATGACTTCATGCATAATAATAGCCAAGAGCCAGGGTATTAATGGCCATGTATGCAAGGAAGAGGCCCAGGGCCTCAGAAGGAAAGGAGACCAAATCAGAAGCCTCCAGCATAAAGCTAGGAACTCTAAAGCCAACTAGATCAGTGGCACATTTAAGGAACAGCAAGATGTCAGTGTGCCTGGAAGAGAATAAGTAAAGAGGAAAGTGGTCAAAGAGTTGGGAGCATAAACAGAGGGTCAACAGTGTACAGCATTTGCTCTGAGCAAGCAGGACAGGAAGTCACTGGAGGGTCTGGAACAGAGAAATGACATCACCTGACTTATTTTTAACAAAATCACTCAAGCTTCTGCACTAAACATAGACTATAGGAGAGGAAACAATTGAAGCAGAGATACCAGTTACAAAGTTAAAGCAATAATCTAGAAAGAGATAATAGCTTGGAGTAAGTGAGCAGTTGGGGTATTAAGAAGTGAGATTCTAGATATATTATTAATGAACTGTCAACAGGCCACGCTGATAGCTTCTAAATGGGGTGTGAGGGGAAAAAAAGTTTTCAGAACTCCAACTTTTTAGCCTAAGCAACTGGAAAGACAGAGTTGTTATGAAATGGGATAAAGAAAACTACAGAAGAATGGATGGGTAGAAGCAGAAACCAGGAGTTTGATTTTACAGATGTTCAGGCTAAGATGCCCTGTTAGACACGTAAATAAAAATATCTGATGTGGAGCTGGATATACAAATCTGGAGTTCAGGAGGACAGCCAGACTACATATTTAAATGTGGACATCATTAGCAAATAGGAGGCATTTAAAGTCATAGTTCTGGATAAGTTTAGAGAAACGATTTGTAATGTTCTATTTTGTCAGCTGGTGATATGCACATAGGTGATTATTACTATCATTATTTTTGTTATTTATGTGTATTTCTTAAACTGGGTGATATGTACATTAGTGATTATTGATTACTTAAAGTGACACAGACAATATATTTTATGTGTATATTTACTTCATACACAGAAAAGTTTAAAACAGTTTATCAAAAAGCACATCAGTTCAAAATGTTTATCATTTCCATTCTATCTTCATTTGTGAAATTTTTGAAACAGCTAATCCATCTGCATTTTCACTAAGCTTGTTTCATTAAAAATTTTGAATTCTCTTTATTTATCTTTAGTGCAATGTACTGAAGACACCAAAATATAAACAGCTGGTTATGAAAAATTACATCTGCAGGGCACTTTATAAGTTGAAAATCACTTTTCATATATCACCTCATTCAGAGGATAACTTTAAAATGAGAAAACTGAAATTCAAAAAGCTTGACTGACTTGACCAATGTCACAAAGCTAATAAATGGCAGGACCAAAGGTCAACCCAAGCTGTTCCACTGAAGATCTGTTCTCACTTAGTCATTTGTCTTATACTGGTATCTCCAGGATAAAGCTAGCAGAGATGAATTTACTGTTGTCTTATTCTCCAAGAAATTTCCAATAACTGTTAAAAAGTTTAAATAAAAGGAAGATGAAAAATAGGTATTTTGCTACTGAAAGGACAGCCTGAGAACAGAGCAGTGACCAGGGGCTTGTGCAGTTCTAAGCTTCATATTCCTGCCTCCAGGGGGCGCCATCTATAAATTGTAGATGGAGGTCAGAAGAAAACAGTGAAAAGAGGTCTTCAGCCTATAAAGTCTATTCCCCACCCTTCCTTTTCTCCAATTTCGCAGAAACCTGAATGAAGGAAGGTGTTAGATCAAAATAATTAGTAGAAAGCTGGTGCTTTTCTGTGAACTCTGCAGAAGACACTAGAAGCAACTGATAGTGGAGAGGAGCAGGGAAACAAATGCAACTCAATTTGGAAATATTTGGAAAGGCTTAGAGAAAAGAAATAGATACCAGGAAAGGTTATTATGGAAAAAGAAAGAAAGAATTGCTGGATTTCTATTTAAGCACTGATAATTTGGTATTCTATTTTTATCAATGCAACAAACATGAACTAAAGGAACTACTTAAACGTAAGTCAATAATTATGATGAAAAGTAAGAAGAAAGTTGCCTGTGTGAATCAAACCATCCTTCAACAGAATTATGGCCTGATGGAAGAATAAAGACTATGTCAAATAAGTGTTTTCAAACTTGGCTTAGACAAAGAAGGGCATTTCACCATAAGTACGTATTTAGTCACTTGCTAGGCACTACTTTTTTTCCTATTTTACCTCAACTCAATTTAAAATGATACAGACAATTTGCATCTCTCACTGAAAGTCAAACATTTCTTCTTCCAGAAAAACAGGTGTTCTGAGGAATTCATAAATGCAAAAACAATCATTAGTCAGATTGATAGAAAAGACACAAAAATGACAGCTACCTTTTATAAGTCCAGCTGCCCCAAATATTGCATTTTACTGATATTTTCTGATTGATATTCTCCTTCCATAACCTGTCTAGTGTGCAAGGAAACTAAAAGGCATAGTTTTTTTTTCTCTTTTACAGAAATCATGTATCAGCGATAGCCAATACATAGCTATGCCAAGATTCAAACACATAGCATGTTAATCAAATGTCCAAATATAAAAGCTTATTAAGCCATAGATTATCTCAAAAGAGAAAACAAATATAGGTAGGCAAAGACAGTATGGAAGGCAGAAAAATTAAAACAGTTGATAATAGGGTAACACACTATTACAGTAAAAGTACTGAAGGTATCATTTATATGTTTTTTTTAAAAGAGAAAAAGTAACTTAATCCAAGTTAGTAGTTATTGGCTAAAACATATATATATATATTAATTATATATATAATACATATATACACACACACACACATATATATATATAAAACTTTGCATTTTAATTTCTCTGATAGGCTATGGTTGGCAATAATTTGTATTCAAAAATTATTTGAAAACCTAAAGAAATTCAGGACTGAGCTACAAAAGAAAGAAATCAAATTTGTTTCTAAAAATGGCACCAAGTACTTTCACAACTCATAAAATGAAATTACTACTACTTTTGATTCCAGGCCAGTTCCATCTTTGGTCTTTTATCAAAAGGCAACATGTCATTGACAGAAAATAGTGACTTTATAAGATAAACACTCTTTCCCTCAAGGAATTAAAGGAAGGTACTAAATCTGAGTACATCTATTCTATCCTACTCTAATTCCCAGAGCCCTCTTTTTAAGGATAAAGAAAATATGTTTATAGACTTACTCAAAGCCAAATTGCTTGGGAATAGCCAACTGCTCCATGGCTTCAAGCTGGGCCTTGCTTTTTCTAGATTGAAAACGCCTGATAGTTCATACCAACACTCCAATCCTTGCTTGGCTCCATTCCTTCTTAGTATTAAAGGTTACTGGATAGTTAATATAACTCATAATATAACTGCCTGATACCAAAGAGTCAATAATTCATGACAACTTTGAAGTAGGCTGTATTGTAATAGTCAACTTCTAGAACAATGGGGGTAACTCAGTGAACCCAATTCCCCTAGAATTCCTCCAGCCCATAAAAGAGATTTCTGCAAAACAAAGAAGTTTTATACTGTCCATTATCAATTTAAAAAAACAAAAACAGAAACCAAAAAACTTCTAACTGCTGAAAATTTTTGGAATTTTT